TTTCCCTCAGTGTCTTTTTCAGACAGGTGCCATTAGCTTAGAGACTCTGATATGCTATTTTTCCAGATGTTTTGGTATAGTGCATGCCCAGCTCTCAACCTCATCCCATTAGATACCACATCTGACACCTGATTGGAGCATATTTGTATGTTCCCCTATCTTGTTGACTCAGCCCACTAATCAAAGGGACCATCTGACTTGTTCTGCACCTCTGCCAGTCACTGCTCCTGGAAGATCAATCAGTGCTGTGCTTCCCCTCGTGGTACAGCAGCAATTCCACTGAAATGTGAGACAGCTCCATCATGTTGCAGCCTTACCAAACTTTGCAACGTACCTTCTTATTTTACTGAGGGTTAACTTGATGTGAGGGAACTTCTCCTTGAAAGTCTCATTCATGTCTTTCTTGAGATCTGATGGCTTCACATAGTCTATGACTGTGGTCTGTAACACATGGTCAAGAGAAAATCACACTTTTAGTTTGTAACAAATGAGATCACACAATTCCCAAAAGCAAGGGATACTAAAAGAGTGCCAGTCAGTCCCAATGTTTTCAGCAGAGGGGAAAATTCAGTTTGAATTAAGGCAGCAATTTGTGACTGCTCCATCAGAACAAATGACTTGAAATCTGAGATGAATGTTCAGCATAAGCCCCAAACAACACATACCCTTGAAGGAACATCCAAGTATCACTGAGTTCAAGCTAAGTGTGTGTAGATAAAACCTAGCTAAGAAGTCTTGGTAAACCCCCAAAAAATCATTACAGTAACTGATTTGATTAACGGATTTTGTGTGAGTTATCTCCACACAGTTCTGAGACATACTGTGAGTTTCTCTCAAAATAATTCTTCAAAGGAACCAGTGGTATAAATTCCTGACTGCCATAGCATACATTTGTGATAAATTAAGTAATTAGGTAATGATGGCAGGTGATTCTGTAGTGTGCAATATCATAATGCTGTCAAAAGCTAGGCAGTAAGTGCACAAAATCATGGAGTTAGGACAACATTCAGAGTATAAAGCCTATTTCCTTTACATTGAGCTTGCTATTTCTTTTTGTCACAACCTACAGAATTTTCCCAAGTAGCAGAGGGTCCTCCTGGGCAGTTCTGTAATGCCAGAGCAGCACTTCTTTTGTTCCTTCAGTCCTCACTCAGGAAGCATTTTACCCAAATCCTCCGTCAACGCTCACCTGGCCAAAATGTATCAGCTGAACAACAAACCAACCTTCATTTTGGGGATGTGCCCATTCTCTTCCTGGCTTTGGCTGTTCTGCCCCTTGGACAGAAAGAAGAGCCCCAGCTTGGGCAACCAGAGGACAACCTGGTCCCCAGCCACTCAGCTCCCAGCCAGCTTCAGGCATGGGCAGTGAGAGAGCAGCAATCTGCAGTGCATTTTCCTTCCAGTAAAATCGTTTTTCCCTTGTAATTTGTGTTTATGATGAGCCTGTGTCATGGCAAAGGGCTGTTAACACTAGACAACACGAGGTAAAAAGAGGCCTGCAAAACACTTGTTGCATGTTATGCCTTTAGAGAAGATGAAGCCTCACTGTATTATACCCTCATGGGAATCTAAAACAGCCAAGAAGACTGACTGCATATGCTTGCAGGTTTTTTTTTTAATAATTAAAATAGTATATGGAAGGGCTTGGGGAGGATTTGCAGTATGAGAAGCTGTCCAGAGAAACTGCTCCCCACTACGTCCTGGCAGGTAATTCTGCCGGGCATGTCACATGCAAGAGCTGCCTGCCATTTTCCCAAACAGAAATGCTTGTGGGCCTCCTCCAACAGCTATGTGTTAGGCACCAGTCCAATTTCTGTTCAATAAAGGGGATAGTTTACTGAGGAAATTCAGCCCTATTACATAAAGCTGCCAGTTATAAGAAATCATAAAAAAAGTCTGTATCAGCCCTCTTCAGTCACCCCGTTGCCCTGCATGCGTGTGGAAGAGCTCAAGCACAGGCCCAGGCAGACACTGCAGTGCCACTGAGGTTAAAAATTCATATGCTGAGGCAGGCAACGTGCTACCATGCCTGAATAAAAGGAAGAGAGGAAAATACACAAAGGAGAAACCTTGCCCTACCTGAGGCCAGAAGGAAAGGCTGCAACTGAATGTGTGGGTCTGCCTGGTTTTCACCTTGCTGAGGTCAGAAGCATGTATGCACACACCTGTGTGGCCTTAGCTCTTTGTCACAGACAGCTGCTCATGTGCTTCATCTCATCTGGCAGGGCTCAGACCTCCAAAGCAGAGCACTCCTTTCCTTTCTTTTCCTGGGAAGTTGCTGCCTACCTGCCTCATCCTTGGTTTTGTTGCCAGAGGATCATCAGCAACTTGGGAGTTTCTGACATGCAGATAAGTTGGGAGTTTTATGTGTTACTAAGAGGGTTCCTCTTAGTACTGCCATAAGAGGACTATTAAAACAAGCCATATAACATGATTTGAACCAGTGCTGATACTCAGTGCATGGCAACATCAGTCCATGCTGCTCTTAGAGAGTCAAGAGACACTAAGCACATAAAGGTTACTCACTACTAAATCCAAGCATTATTTTAGGTACTACCAGCATCTTTTGATTGTCTTGGGCAATCCTAGAAAGAGTCAGCTCAGTGCTAGTGTGCACAGCTACATGACAGCTTATTTCATGCTTCACTGCAAACCTAACTGCCTGTTGTTCGCTCTCCATTACCACAAATCTCCTCAGTTCTATCTTAATTATCTCCTTCAAAGTCATCACGGGTTTCTTCTGGCAGACTTGCCTTTGGCTCTCTACAAGTAATCATCTTCCCTTGCACAGAGGAGGATGCAACCAAGCACAAACCTCACCTGCACGACAGAAACTACTTTGCTGCAGAAAGGACATGGCAGCCAAAGAAGGGCCTGAGCATCCTCTGGACTCAGCTGTGCAGAAATTATGCCAGACAGCAAGATTCAGGTGCTTTCATCTCCAGCGAGCAGGTGCCAGCATGGCCCCAGCTCCAGAGGCAACTGCACAAAACGGGGAGAGCCCCGGGTTCTGCCACACAGCAGCAGCAGCCCTCCAGGGTGCACTGTTCCCTAGGGCCCCTCTGCAGGCACCACCTGTTTTACCTGGGACTCCTCCAGCTTGTGGGAGATTTGCCAGAATTCAGCGAAATTCTTTTTAGAAGGAGAAAAGCTCTTTTTTTCCCTAATTTTATTTAAAGAAAAGCACTCAGAGGCTTAAGAATAAGCAGACAGCTCAAAACTGAAAATGGTAAGGAGGCACAGCTATTTTTAAACAGAGAGATTTGTCAATTTTGTCCTGTTGATAAGAATCTCCCCTCCCCCCCCCCAAAACTCCAAATACTGTTCTTTCCTGTGAGACAACAGTCTCTACTATATAAATCACAATAATGAAATCCAGATGAAAGCTGGTGTGTGCTGGTTTTGATTCATGTAACAGGATAACAGCAGCGTGTTTGAACACACTGGCTCTAAGGCAGCTGTCTCATCTTGTCAGTGCCATGCTGGAGAGTTCAGGAAACTACCCTTATTCTCAATAAAAGGAATTGTGCAACTTCTTTTTTTCCCCTTGGTTTATGGAAGTCCCAGTCCCTCTCCTGCCCGGGGTACCTCCTGCACCCCACAAACAGCCCAGCATCAAGGATCAACCCCCCCACCACTGCTCCTGCCCATGAAGGATGGAGTGGAGGAAACCTCTGGGGTGGTCCCATGACCCACAGGGACCAGCTGGGATCTGACAGAGGGCTCTGACCTAACATCATCCTTCACTGCCTGCTCTCTGCTCAGCATTTACACTTTTCTTCTCTGTTTTAGGCCATTTCATAGCATTTGAGCTGCCCTCAAGTCCCAAATGAAGCTGCCATATTCAGGAGAAGATGTGACTGTAAATGGTGTGGATTTTTATCTGTCCAGAACAATTCCTGTATTGCCCATGTAGAAGGACGATTCAGGACCGATGCCCATACATAGGGTTTGCAAATATTTTCCCACAGCATTTTTCTATCCAAACATGCTTTCTTGTACATAAAGATATTCCCTACCAGGCAGGCACTCTGCACCCTCAGAGCTGTAGACACACGAGCAAAGCACTGGGAACTACCAAACTGTCTCTCTCATGCTTTTAATCTCCAATGTTTGTAACTTCTGTCATCCAGAAACGTCTGTCTTGTTTCTCACAGCTTATTTGCACAAAACACATTTCACTTCAGTATTCAGCAATAGTCCTTTGTGAGCTCTGTTCACCTTCTCTGATTTGTATCTGTGCATGTGTATTTGAGTTTGGTGATGGAAGTTGCACAAGACAAATGAAAGCCTTGATTTATGGCAGCTGACAGATGCCTGGACTACATGATGAATGGTTTGGCCAAACTCTGTGCTCTGCACACTTTTTTGCATGGCTGCAGTTTTGAACTTGGAGGTTAGCTTGTGTGCTACTCACATGTGTTTTCAAGCAGCTGCTTTCTCATAGGAAAGCTGTGTATATAGTTTCATAAATATAGGAGGAGAGAGGATGCCTGAAATGGTTGGAAAGACTGGCAAGATGAAATATTGTTGCAAATAAATCCCTACTTTGGCACACTACCAGTAAAAGATGTTTTAGCCTTGGATGCCTCAATCTCTCACTTAAGAAGGATAAAATCAGAATAAAATAGGTGAATATAATGAAAGATACACAACAGGCTCTCTTCAGCTGTCATGTATGCCTGTCAAACTCACTTCACAGAGAGCAAACAGAAGACTGATACCTTTAACAGACTTCCACTAGGTCAATGGCAAATTTCTCAACCAGAAAATGAATGGGAAGAAGACAATGACTCTGCACTGCCTGGCCACCTTCATGCATACCACAGGTGATCAGGTGTGTAGCTTTAACTGTCATTAACCTGATTTGTGTACTTGTGGCTGACAAAGCATATATATATAATCCTGATAGAGTGGAGGCTTAAATGGTGATGGAAAATGAGAACAATTCCTTATTTATAATAAGTAAGTTAAAAATCAGGAAAAGGAATACTAAAATGTTTCTGTTGTTTGAAAGTAATTAACGTTCAAGGATCTTAAATGGAAAGATTTTTAATTTCACAAGGCAAATAATCTCAAAATGGTCTCTTTGAATTAAAGAATATGGAAGAACACCAGCTTATTTTATATGCTTAATACACTGGAATAATTCTCAATTATACAGTGTGTCACTGTTCCAAAAGAGTTGTTTATTGGAGTCCCAGCCAAATATGTCATCATATCCATACAGCACAGGGTTTAAATACAAATAAATATCACCACTGTGATCCTCTGCTTCCTGAGACTTTTGGGTACAAGGTCAGCAGCTGATAAAAAAGCAGTCTGGAGATGCCTAATTTACAGCTATGGAAGGGGCTGGAAGAATAGGGTGATGGCACAGAGGGACACTGGCTGTATCAGAGTGCTCCTGACCTTGATGCTCCTTGACAGTGTGAGACTGAATGCGCTATATCATCATGCAGGGCTTTTGTTAGACTAAATGCCCAGGGCAGCAGGCAGTTCTAATTTTAAAGTCACATTGGAAGACTAATATTTAATAATGCAGCCTGGCTGTGCTCAACACTAGTGCAGTACCTGGCAAACACAGGCTGACATTCAGCCCTCTCTAAGAGCACTGCAGACTTTTGTCACATGCTTTTTTTTTTTATTAGTGGTGTAGAGCTGACAATTAATTTTGACATAATTAAACCAATCCACTGAAACTGTAGTTAAGTACCCAAACCAATTTCCAAGTGTATCCCTTGGGCAGGGATAGAGGGATATTGCAGGGATGTTATTACAGAAGGGTCACTCAAAGTCAAGATGCTACTGATGTGGGCTTTTCTTCTTTTGCTGCAAGTTCTGGCAGTGCAGAGCAGCCAGCTGAAGATGCTCCAGCATTTGTGCGTTACCAACAAAAGCAGGATGGTGGGGGTCAGCCTCAGGCCTGCTGCAGGGTGAGTTTGCTCCATCTGCACAGAAAGAGTTTGTTTCTGCTGGCAAGAATGCAGGGAGGCACTGACAAGTTTGGATGTACCCTGGTCAGTGTGAGACTCAGGCACAGAAATGACTACTCTGCCTGGTAGATGAAAGTTCCCATTCTAGGGAGATTTAAGAATCTGCAAGAATTCCTGTTTTAGCAGTATCAGCCAGGAAGACATCTGTTAGCCATGACATGATGTTTCCCTCCTCCCCCGGACCCCAGCAAGAAATTCTTGTACCTCTTACTGTTTATATTTCAGTAGAGATTGTAGACTCATCTACAAAGCCAACATAAAGGAAAATAAGTTCTCCAGGGTAAACCAGAATTTAAATGTGACTAACACAAAAAGTGTAGAGTTTGTGTTGGGACAGTACTCAAGCTGCTTTTTCAGAATCATCCCCTAACAGACTGTTTGTGGGTATTTAGAAATGTGACACGGAAGTGAATACTCATTCAAGCTAGGAACTTTGCTGTAGAGAAAGACCAAACTGAAAGCACTTCTTCCCCACAGATATCATCAAGGAGGAAGATCAGCTACTCCTTGAAGACAGCTGAGGACTTGCAATTTAAAAACTTCTGAAAGTCAGGACTAATTCAGCCCAGTAAAGTTACAAGACTATAAATTCAATGTCAGTGATAATAAACTCAGGTTCCACAAAAACAGAGGGAATTGCATGTTCCATGGGCTTGAGTGCTAACTGCAGGTATTTCAGGGTAAAATCCAAGCAGGACCACACATTTTGCCTGTCCTGTGCCTCAGGATAAAGCCTGCAGTGTTCAGTGATCCAGCATTCACTCAAATAGACCTCAGTGGAGTTTTAACAGTGGAGAAATCCCAGCCTGCAAAGCACGAGCTCCCAGGAGTAGTATCAGTCCATGCAGCCCTATTCCACAGCCCAGCCTCCAGCTTCCCTCATCCACACTGTTCACATTCCTCCTGCACAACTTCCCCCCATTAATTGCTCTGACATTCATAAGGGGTGGGGGGAAACAAGCTTGCAGCTGCCAAGCATTAATGCTAAATGCTGGCCAAGTAATGAAACTTTAATTACAAGCTGCAGCTCTCTACACACAACAAAATGTTTGGCGCTGACATCAGAGCTGCTCTCAGCTGCTCCGGCACTTGGGAGAGGCAGTAATTACAGCTATATTCCACTCAGGACCAGACACTGGTCTCAAATCTGTGTACAGCAGCTCTACAGCTCTGTGGTCATTTGGCAGAGGTCTGTCAGTGCTGCTGTGGCTGTGCAGGGTCAGGAAAATACCACAGGCTTCTTGCTAGCCTTAGACTGCAATTTGCTGTAATTGCAGCATACGCCGATTTTTATATTTCGGGAAGAAAAAGACTCAGAATTACAGCTTGTTGTACTCCTGTTCATACTAATGTGAACTGCAGGGAGGGGGAATGCCAGCTGAGTCTGAAAAGTCTAATATGGATGTCAGTGAAGTCTCCTGAACAGCCAATATGGCATATATATATATACACATATATACAAAAGCCTGACGCACAAGCCCCCCTTGCCCCAAGCTGCAAAATCCTATTTAACCCACAAGGTCCTAGGACACTCCAACACACCCTTCCTCCCTTCTCGCAGCTAAAGGAAGCACCAGCCCCTTGTGAATCTTTCAGCTGAGCCCTGAAGAACAACCACCCACTCTTCGGTTTCTTACAAAGCTGTGCAGCTCCAATGTGGCATAACAGCTATGCTGCTTCCACCAGGGGCAGGCAAAAGCCTTGGACCTCAGACAGGAGAGCTCTTGGCACGTGCCAGTTATTCCCATCAACAAAAGAAACACAACACTTAATGTCCTCCAGGCCTTTCTTAGATTACTGCCTGCCTTCAGAGAGAGATGCCAAATGCTGCAGACCCTCAGGCATTGCTGAAGAAATGACAGCTGGAAGGCAAACTCAGGCAAAAAAAAACCCCAAAATGTGAAATAAGGTGTTTTTCCAGACACAGAAGTAATTAACCCCTAGAGAAAATGAAAAAGCAGGGACACTCCTGTCAACCCTAATATACTCTAGACAAACAGTCACTGTTTTTAACAATTGCCCTTGAAGTCCATTTTTCATCTTGAAAGCATTTAATTGTACCTCTGTCTCAGTGGAAATCCCCACTCAGCTCCTTATTGCACTAAAAGTACCTGAAAATGCTGTGGTTAACCAGTTCTTTTTCTGTGGAAAAGAAGAGCATGGAACACCCGCCCCTGGGCCTTGGAGACCTCCCCTGCAGGATGCTATCCTGGCTGTCCTATTTTTACTTGTCCAACTGTGTCCATCTCAGCTCCAAGTTGAAAAGAGATCAAAGACTTCAGGTGAGAGCCCTAGAGGACTCGAGACTGCCTGGAGCACATTCTCAGTCTGAGGAAGGCTGGAACCACAACCATGACTGCTAAAACTATGTTCACTTTGGATGCCAGCTAATATCTTTCTGTTTGAGAGAAGACAGTTGCTTGTCCATGACAACAACCATATCAAAACCTAACAAGTATTTGCCCACCCAGATGCAGCTGACATAAAAGGTTGACACGTTGTGGGTTGGCAGCCACAAGTAACTTGCCAACCCTAGAAATAAAGCTGGCTGAAAGTAAACAGAGGGCATACTGGACTTCCCACTTGAAAATTTAGCACAAACACAGCCTCAGAGCTCGATTTTTGTATGCAACATGTTCCATACCTTTCTGTGCGACAGGCAGAACAGTCCTGCCAGTAAGGACATAAGCTTCAGTCTATGTGGAGCAGGTAAAATCTTTTTATTTTGAGGAAGGAGTACCCAAGAGCCCTATTATCAAATAAAGACCAAGGTGGGGGCAGAAAAAACCCTAGAAATACTGTTATTTTCACATACATTAGTAGTTTCCTATACCATATCTCTGATTCAAGTTAAGTGAGTAAATTAAGACCTCAGTGTTTCATATCTAGTCCCATTTGTACATAGATAAGAGCACCAGGTCACTGCTTTGGAGGAAAAAAAAAAAAGAAGCTTTTCCCTTGTGCTTGCTACTACTTTGGATGTGTAATTCAGACAGATAAAGGCTCACATGAACACAACGGCACTGCATCCTGCAACAGTCTTGAGCTTGGAGAAGAGGAGACTGAGGGGTGACCTCATCAATGTTTAAAAATATGTAAAGGGTGAGTGTCAGTGATGTCCAATGATAGTACAAGGGGCAGTGGATGCAAACTGGAGCATAGGAGGTTCCATGTGAATATCAGAAAGAACTTCTTTCCTGTGAGAGTGACAGAGCCCTGGGACAGGCTGCCCAGAGAGGTTGTGGACTCTCCTTCACTGGAGACATTCAAAACCCGCCTGGACACGTTCCTGTGTGATGTGCTCTGGGTGACCCTGCTCTGGCAGGGGGGCTGGACTGGGTGAACTTTCGAGGTCCCTTCCAACCCCTAGGATTCTGTGATTCTGTGAAAATATCACATCGAAGTCTACAGACTTGGTAGAGGCTGAAACAAGGCTACAAAAAAAGTCACCCCCCACTGAAAACATTGAGTTGGAGCACAGTTTTAGGAGTACTTATGTATCTGTACTGTTATGGGTTTGGATATAGTGAAAAATATACAGGCTCTGCTTGTAATTGCTGCAATTAAAGGAAGAACTATGCCACAGTGAAATAAGTATGTGGGAAACAAAGGCTCTACTAGACACCGAAGCGCTGTTCCGAGGAGCGAACGATAAGCATCACAACACAATGCAGCTTCATGACTTCAGAAGAACCCTAATGGGCATCCTCCTATTCTGTACTGGATGCCAATTAGAGGAAGTATAAATTTTTCTCTGAATGCGAGAGAATGAACGCATTGTTCTAACAAGCCTTTCCTCTAAAGCATTTATGAAATACAGGGCTAATGAAAGCGTTTTCTTTTGTAATACCTCCACAGCTTTGTTTTTACATGTCCTGCTAAGTATCTGTCACTTAGAACAAAGCATTCCAAACAACTGTGATTAGTAGATTAATAATAATAATAATAATAATGATAACAACAACAAACAATCTTCTTAAAATACAGCCAAATGTAACCTCAACGTTGAAAATATTATTACCAAAACGTACCTGTGCCACACATAATTTCGCATATCACTTACCATATATGAAGGAAATATTAAAACCCGCTTATGTTTGCCACAGGGCCACTGGGGATCATCTAAAAGATTTGGGTCGTATTCAACAAAGTCTCCCAGGTCGCTACCTATAAAGCAATGGGTAAATATAACACAGGAACTCATTACATCAAGAAATCCCTGGGCTTAAGGGAAGTGGCAAATCAGTTCACAGGCAATGATCTTCATGCAAGATTTTTCAAAGTCAGAAGATTTCTCTAAATCTTGAAAGCTCTATTAACGCAATTTGCAAAGACGTAGAGGACAGCTTATTAATCACCTGGTAAATGTGAATTTAGGGCCTAGGGAACTGCAAAATTATACAGAGCTCCACAATGACTTTTCTTCCCAGCAACAAGTTTTCATCTGTTTATGCGGATGTTTTGATCTGTGTCATTTAACATGCCAAATTATCTTAAGCATATAGTGCTTTGACTTACGTTTTGTGCCCAGTTTTGTAAACACAGCCCTTTCCAGCCTAATAAAGGTCACAAGTATGATTTACACCTTCAGCTTATGACTACTGTGTTGCGCCTGTAAATTTTCCATAGCAAAGGAAGGTAATAACGAGCCTGATGCGGCAGGCGCAAACAATGCTGGTGACAGGAGGAGCCACACCAAGTGCCATCAGGGGCTGTCAATATCACCAACAGTCTTGTTTACTGAACCTTCCATCCATCCTTAAGCCAGGTTTGCCTAACAAACAGGGAATGAGCTGTTTGGTGTGCAACGTGAGACTATATTTTGCTTAACTTAAGCAAAAAAAGGGGGCTAAAACATGACATATTTCTGTCTTTCACAATGACTGCCTATGAGCAGGCTATGCAAGGATGTTAAAACAAGCTTCTTGAGAAGTTACCTGCATCAATGCTCCCCTGGGTGCTGTTAGCTCTTGCCAAAGAAAGGCTACGATGGCTTGCATTGCGAAATTGGGAGAAGGATGAGGTGGAGTCTATTGTGTTCCTCCGAGTTCCCAGAGCATTGGTGGGAAATAAGAACTGTGTATAAGAAACGGTCTAAAAAGAAAGTCAGAATGGACAGACAGTTACTATCAGCCCAGCTCGGCTGCCGTATAATGCCTTTGGTGCATCCCAACAGGAAAGCAAGGGAAACCAAATTAGTGGGGGATTTTCTGGATCTAATAGTTAGGCACAGATGAATAAACACCAGTCACCTACATTTGCTTCAGTGCAGCCAGTTTATCCATGCAAAAAGAAATCTTTTTCAAAGGCATTAATTCTTCAACAAAACAAAACCACAAATACACAAAAGGTCTAATGCACTGGTTTTATGAAATCCCACTCAAGGGTCAGATTTTCAAATACGTTAATTTGGTGATTTTTTCAGTGGGCTTCTCTGTAGCAGGTTTCAGCTGCTTCTTTACTGAAACAGCATCATCTATATGGGTCCCTCAGCACAGAGCAGCCAGAGGCAAATCACTCGAACCTTGCCAAGCTTAAACACTTTCTCCACTATTTTCCTCCTTCAGGATTCTGTCTGGCAGAATCCTACTGGTGTTGTAAGTGAGCTACCAGTTCATAGCAATGGTTGCAGGAGATCATTTATTACCTCCCAACATGGACTAAAGATGAATGAATAACTTGTGACAAAATTATTTTTAGAGTGTACCAGTTCTCTGCTTGCACCCTTGGCCAGGAAAGGAACAGACTACGCTTTGCTTCTTGTAGGCTTGTTTTCCAAAAATAACAGTATATTGAAAAAAAATAAAGGAGTCTCAGACTCTACACTGGTTTACGAGGAGGTCAGAGCAGGTATCAAATAAATAATGTGAGCTTTCATTTATTCTCCTCAGGAATTTACAGCCTGTGGTCTGGCCTGACACCTGGTTAAGTGAGCACACCATGTGTAGCAGCATTGACCTGGGGCCTTCAAACCCATACATGGCAGCAAAACTGAACTGTAAATGTAAATCAGGCTTTCAGCAAAAAATGTTTTAATTTATTATTAGAATTGTTTCACCTCTATATATTTGTTTAAAATGAATTACTCTCCCTAAAGATTCATAATTGCTTATTCTTATATTCACTTGTGAATGGACTCTGGGATTTTGAAATACTCATCAGATTTGTACTACTGTCTTCCTGCCCTTTGGAAAAAATATATTGTAAAGTAGAATTTATTTTATAAAATAAAACTGAGAGCAAACATAATTACACCTTAGAACTCTACCAGAAATTATTTTCAAGCCCCTGACAATATATTCTGCAGTGATACCTCTTGTTACAGCCAGCTGCACCAATCAGTAATGCTTTACAGACTCTGATGTTGCCACAGGCGAATTTCAAGGAAACAGAGCTGTTTGCACTGACAGCTTGGCCAGTCCTCCTGAATTTCAGTTTGCACATACTGTGCTTTAACTACTGTGTTACACTGCACGTTATCATCTGTTTTTGTATCTGCGCCTGATGTTAGTTAAGCCATTTGTTCCCTTTTTACACACAGTCTAAGAGAGTAGGAACTGAAGCATCCCCACCTTCCCATCTGCTCCAAGCTCCACACCTTCAAGACCAATTATCTCTTTCAGACACACTCCGGTAGAATGGCACTGGCGTCCACCTTCCAGCTTCAGATCCCTGGAGAACAGAAGCCAGAGCAGAAACAGCTCTTAATATATACACCTTGTTTAACTTCCACCCAAATGCTGAAATAAGGTATAGCAGCATTAATCCAAACATACTGATGCAAAGCACAGACCAGGCAACTCTTTCTATGGGCAACTTTTCCTACAGGCAGCACGTGTGTTGTCTCAAATACGTTACAGAGAAAACCCCCACTTTGTTCCAGCTCATACCCCACCTGTGGTGCAGAGCAAGGCTGCTCATCACTGGGTGCCTCTGACAGAATCTGGAAATGGGAAGGAACTGGAAGTCATATACACTTCAGGTGAGATTTAACTTGATGACTTGACAGCCACATATCCAGATGCTCCAAGAATACATACCCACCTCCCTCTGTGCTGTTACAAGAGATAATTGCCTATGAAAGCCTCTGGGAGGGATTCCTGCCCCTCTGCATGCAAAAGAATGTCCAAATCCCAGCAACTGTTGGGGGCCAGCAGGAAAAACCCAGGTCTATATTGCCTCAAGATGGAACACTGGAGATCTATTTTTTAATGATTAACCCACTCAGCATCTTATACTTGGAGGTAAATGAGATGCCTGAGACAACCAGGCTGTATCCCATGCTTTAGCCTCACAATCAAAATGTGAGTGAAGGTAAAAAGGACTATGAGCAAGTCTATGTTCTGCAAATGACAGCTGTGTACAACTTCAGAATATTTATCTTGCAGTATTTTCCTGGCTGATTTCCTCTGAAGTCCAAGTATGTGCTTAAAAATTGGTGTGGGAGAGATGCTGACACTGAGAGAGAAGCCCTGCAGGCTCTTCACCCAATCCCAGGGCTATGCTGTCTCCTACTATGTCTCTGCTCACTCTCTTCCTTTGTCTTCCCTTTCCAACCTGTCACTCATTTTATGTCTCTGTAACAAGGCAATCAGTGAGTCCCCAATAAATCATGTACCTTACTGCTGGAAAAAAACAATACACCTATCTGCTGGAAAATATACTTCCTTGACAAAGGAAAAGACTGTATCAAGTTTCTAATCCCAGCAAAGTCCTCTTAGTTTCTCGACTGGGGTTCACTTAGCAAAGTGTCACATTATTGTTCTTGTTTCCTGATATCATGTTACTGAGGCCCTAGACAAATAATTATGTAAAAATAACCCTCTGTCAGAGGCATGGGATTAGCCTCTCTCCTCTTGCATAGAATGTGCTTAAAGGAACTTGCTTCTCATAGAGATAAATGCCAAATAGTAACCATTTCAGCAGGTCTTATCTACAAAACACATAACCTGGGAAGCCCCCAAACCCAAAAATGAAAAGTATCTGAATTACCTGAACTAATATTATCAGAACAGTTTATCTTCCTTCCACTCAAAACCTTACAGACACAGAGTGAGCAATAATGCCAAAACAACTTTGAAAAATAGGCATGGGGAAATTTCTCTATGCAATTAACAGACAAGCATAGAGAACTCTATAATTCATCAAATAAAAAGCCATGCCCCTTTGAAGAGTCAGCATATCAGCTTTAAACTGGGGGTTCAAAAGAAAACAGCATTCTGGGAGCAGGGTCAGCTAGTGTGTGTAGGCACTCATGGGAATGTTTCCTGGACACTAGCTGAAGATCAACAGACATTAATGCCTCAATTTTCCCATCTTTCTGATGGGACCTTCAGGACCCTGTAAAAAAACCCACAGTCATTCTCCCTTCTCCTAGGTGTTTTGCAAGGGCTACTCAGGGTCTTCCCCTCCTCTCCATATGCTCTCTATTTCAATATAGCGTATTACTGGTTGTGTTGTAAAATTGAGCAACAAAATATTGGTTGGAGAGAAACTGGTCCAGAAACAATAAAATTCCCTCTCTTCAGGAAAACCAGTACTAAACAATGCACAGTTTCTTATCAAAGCATAAATGGAAAGGCTCATCCTAGCTTTTATGTAGTTCCCTCTAACTAGTACAAGACCTTGGTGAACACCTGATTCCTAGGTGATTTCACTCGTTCCTTTTTGAGTCCTCTACCACTGCAATCAACAGCAAGTTAATCAAGTTCTTGCCACACGAGCCTTGATTTTTTCACCCTCCCTCCTATTACACTTCACAAGTTCACAAATGCCTTAGCAAAGTTCTTGCTAGGAGAGCAAGCCCAAGGGCTGACACCTTGCTGCTGGGAAAGCCCCAGCACAGCTGCTTCCTCCCCACATCCCCAAAATCCCAAGAGCACCTAGGAAATACCTAAGGAACACCTCCACTTTGCCCTCTCCAAAGAGGTTAGTTGTGCCTAGGGAACAGTCAGAACAGTTGCTTGGGTACAGTCCAAACTTTACTCAAACTTGGGGACCAGGGCTGTCAACCACCACCACCAAGTACTTTAGGACACACGTCCTTGCATGGCACCATGGTCAATGGGCCTTATGGGGCAGGAGAATATGGAGGACAGGCTCTTTATATACATATAAAAAAATGTTAAAAATCAAGCTTTCACTGTTTAAGTTATTCATGTTACTGATGGGACCCAGGAACCTTACAAACCAGTATCCAGTAGTAACAGGTGCTTACAAAATGCAAAGTGGGAAAGACAATCCTTGCCAAAGAGGCTTTTAAGAAGAAAACTTTCTTCCTCCTCTTCCTCAGGTTTTATTTCCCTGTTTTATTTTCCAAAAGCGCTTTTAAACAACATTTTTGAGGGATTCATTCCAGCAGACACCAAAAAGAAAAAAAAGAAGAAAAAAAAGGTAACTTCGTTTTATTTGAGAAGACAAAGCTGGAGGAAATTAGAAGATCGGGGATGACATTTCATAGAATCATAGAACTATTCAGGTTGGAAAAGACCATTGGGATCACCGAGTCCAACCATCATCCCTACTCTATAAGTTCTCCCCCAAACCACATCCACCAACACCACATCCAAATGACCCTTCAACACATCCAGGGATGGTGTCTCAACCACCTCCCTGGGCAGCCTATTCCAGTGTCTAACCACTCTTCCTAATGTCCAGTCTAAACCTGTCCTGTTGCAGCTTGAAGCCATTCCCTATTGTTCTGTCACTAATTACCTGTGAAAAGAGACCAGCACCAACCTCTCTACAATGACCTTTCAGGTAGTTGTAGAGACTGATGAGGCCTCCTCTCAGCCTCCTCTTTCTCAAACTAAACATTTCCAGGTCCTTCAAGCGTTCTTCATAAGATTTATTCTCTAGGCCCTTCACCAGCTTTGTTGCCCTCCTCTGTACTCGCTCCAGCACCTCGATATCTCTCTTGAGTTGAGGTGCCCAAAACTGGACACAACACTCCAGGTGTGGCCTCACCAGTGCTGAGCACAGGGGGACAATCACCTCTCTACTTCTGCTGGTCACACTATTTCTAATACAAGCCAGGATGCCATTGGCTTTCTTGGCCACCTGGGCACACTGCTGGCTCATGTTCAGCCGCTTGTCAATTAGAATTCCCAGGTCCTTTCCTGCCAGACACTTTCCAGCCACACTTTCCCAAGCCTGGAGCATTGCCTGGGGTTGTTGTGGCCCAAGTGCAGGACTCAGCACTTGGCCTCCTTGAAGCCCAGACCATTAATACCATTAATATTAGCCCAAATATTTCCTTAGGAGGCAAAAAACTAGATCCTACTTTCTGACAAAGTTTGGAGAATTACCCCGATTTACACCAATGTCAGGCTCCAGATATTCTATTTGTGCATACCATTCACGGAAAGCTGAGCAGCGTTACAAACTCATTCAAAACTATGCATTTTTTTTTTTTTTTTAATCTGGGACTGAAGGAAACAAACAAGAAGTTTCTCCATCTAATAGAGTTCACAGATTTTCCTGGAACAGCGACTTAGGATTCCAAATTTCATGTGGGATGGTGAAAAGATTTCTAGAGCAGGTAGATAAGGACCAAAACAGGAAATCTCATAGTGTCTTTTATTAGTCAGGGCAGGATTAACATAAATTGGATGCTATAACCTCTGGAGGTATAACATTTCTTTAATGATTCAAACGTTATGCTTTGACGTGATCTACAAAGCCCCATGCAAGACTCCTGCTGGGCACTTGCTCTTTAAATGACAGCAACAGTTGAATGCTTTAACCTGTGAATAATTCAGGAGTCCATTAAATATTAAATACATTTCTAGATACATGAAAAAGCCTCTTTTGCTTATTGCAAAAAGGAATCTGATAATTGTGACTTAGAGATGTAAGCCTTTTGTGTCTGTATTTTATGCTCAGTGATTCCTGACTGTTAAGAATGATTCTAAAAGCAAAGGTGGTTCATGAGACATCAAGAAAACCTACTGTTCTCATCCATCACTGTAAATAATTTCTACTTATTGTCTCTGTTTACAGGGACAAGGACAATGACAGCTTTGGCTAAAATGTGCAGCCAGTCAGTTCAGCAGCAGATCTCCTGCTGCCTGAGACTGCCTGCTTTAATTGATCAAGAGCTTTCAGATCCTAATTGTCATTAGTGTTGCTAGAAAAACAACTCCAGCAGCAATTTACAGGGAGAGGAGGTGAAAAAACTCCTGGAAAGATGGCTCTAATGGGCCAGTATCCTTTTTCTCTCTCCAAACATGCTCAGGTGTCAGCACATCAGCTATTATTCTGATGTTTTGACCAAGAGTAATTTAAACCTATTAGCTTTTGGAGATTCATTGCAATCTAAGGGAACAGGGCGACTCACAAAAACGAGCAATGATGGCTCTATAAAATTCACACATGAGATAATTAGTTTTGAAAAGTCTTGTTGTGGGAAAAAAAAACCCAGATTTATGTGTCTGTCAAGCTAATATGCACTCAAGTTTTGTATTTTCCTCAATTTGAGAGAAGCAGGGAAAACGGGCAATGGTAAAGAAAAGCAGGGATATTTCAGTTTCCCTATTATCAGCTAAAACCAGATAGTTATTCTTCCCTAGCACTATGGAGTCATAAATGCTCAGGAAAAGCACTTGAGATTGATGACTTAATCAAAATTGCCTCACATACAGAAATCTGTTGGGGAAGAATAGCAAGGAATG